TTTGTAATGGATAACATTTGAGTATCAAAATAACTAATAAATTTTTATAAATTAAGGTATATTAATGAAAATATATAAATAATTAATGGTGTATATGTATCTTAATATTTTTTATGACAAAGAAAATACATTTCAAAATTTTAATTGTTATATTTTTAATTATTCTATTTTATATGTAGGATTTGTCTCCACTACGTAAATAATTTAATTGTTTGAAATATGCAAATTATATTGAATTGTGTTATAGATTTTTTAAATTGAAAATAATAATTATTATATACACAACCTGTGAACCCATCCTTACCCAACCCGTAAATATCCGGGTTGATTCGGGTCGGTTTTTAAAGTAGAATTACGGGTTTGATGATAAACTCAACCCATTGAAAGTTGAACGGGTTGGGTAACGGGTAAGGCGAACCCGGTCCAACCCAACCCGCGTACACCCTTAAATAATATATATATATATATATATATATATATATATATATATATATATATATATATATATATATATATATATATATATATATATATATATATATATATATATATATATATATATATATATATATATATATATATATATATATATATATATATATATATATATATATTATATATATATATATATATATATATATATATATATATATATATATATATAATTATTCACCCTTTTTTTTAAGGTATATTTTTTAACAAAAAATTGAGATTTTTTATTACACTACATGTCTTACTCAAATACTCATTTTCGAAATATTTTTAAAATTTGAATTTTGAAATTCATAAGCAAAAAAAAAAACATGTCAAATACAAATAAAAAATGAAATTACTTGTTATGCAAGTTTAAAATTTTTACATTATCAATGCATCACAATTATCCGTTTGCATTATTTTTTTAAGTAGTTAAAATAAAGGCAAATTCTTAGGTATCCATGATAAGTAGTTGGGTACTAGTACCTTTAGTGTAGGTTAAATAATCAAATATATATATATATATATATATATATATATATATATATATATATATATATATATATATATATATATATATATATATATATATATATATATATATATATATATATATAATGACATTGAATATAATTCTTTTTATTGGAGGAGGGTACCAGTACCTAACTAAATCTTAGGGTATCAGAGTGCTCACCTAAAATAAAAGTCAAACCTTTTAAATAATTCAGTGGTTGTGATTAACTGGTCGTGTGAAAAATCTTTATATTGTTGGTGTATATCAATTAAATTCATAAAAATTTTACGGATTTTGAAATTTAGACGCACCCTGACTCATTATAACAAACTCACTCTCAAAATCACTTGCAAATCAAAGTAAAAATATATATTTGAATTTCAAACTCCGGATTACACTAATTGATTTTAAATTTTGGACACTTTCATTTAAGTACTTGTGTTCTATCTTTCCCTCTTCTTTCCTTTCCATTTGAAAAAAAAACAATTTTGCATATGTATAGATTTCTTCCCTCACATCGTACCAAACTTTCTCTCAAGTTCTACTCGTGTATGTTCAAATCTAGGATCTTCATTAACTTCTACTCATTTCCATTAAAGTTAAGCACAAACACCTCATACATTTGGTAAGTTTCTTATATCACTATTTTTATTTATTTGCGATGCATGCAATTCATTAATAGGTTAAAGTTATGCTACATTATGATACATCCAATAAAAATGTATTGTTTGTGTTCTTAATATAATTGTGTGTGAATTTCAATCATTTGAGAGCTAGGGTATGTGCATGAAAACATTCTGCTCTCTGTTTCATGATAGTCCAGATTTTGAAATCTGAACCCTTGGTACGAATAAAAAATTCATATTTTTTGTTATTCATTATGTTTTTTAATTTTGTTTGCTATTGTTTCTGCTTTGACGAGGCACAATAGAGATACATATATTTTTGAGTGGGCCCCAACATGTTTTAGTGCACATTGAAAAAGTTAGACTCTCACAATCTGCAAGTAGAGAATTATTGTGTACTGTTGATGGATCCTCTTTCCAGGGTTATATATCTCTGGCTCCTGATGAAGCACATGTCATTCTCGTTCATGTTGATGTACATGTGCATGATCAACATCCAACTATCATATCTGATGTTGTCGTACCTACTAGTTTTTCAGGAGGTCCCGAAGACACTTCACTACTTCCTCTATATGCACATTATGTTATAGTTCACGTATGGGAGGTAGAGGTAACATAAATCTTTTATTACTCTTTAAAATATTTGTCTTATGATGATTGAATTTCTTGACGTTGATGTATTTATTTTTGCAGTACCATGACACATTGAAATGTATAAATCATGGCAGAACAATATTAAAGATGTTGCAGCCTGATGAACTATGGTTTCCATAAGTCTTGGAGCTATATTGGCTGAATGGTTTCAGCATGACTGAATATGATTATATTGACCATGGTTTATTTTCTACATTTGTTGAGAGATTGCAGGTAAATACGGTGTCATTTCATCTCACAATCAGTAAGATAATTATCACACTTGATGATGTATCAAACCTCTTACATATTGCGTTCATATAAATATTGTCAGATCACTCTAAAATTACTACACCTAATGCTTTCGACCTGATGTTGACTCAATTAAGGGGTGATCCGAGTAAAGCTAAATGGGAGATAGAAGACACCAATATATTTCATGCTAGATTATCATTCTTATCGGAAAATTATATTTACCACTTGAATGTGGTTGTAGATGTTGTGGGGGATAAAAAACATGTTACATATCACAAAGTATATGCATTCAGGACGTACTTCTTGATCTTAGTTGACACTAAAAATTTTGTGGACAAAAGTCGGACCTATGTCGATGTTACATATATTAAATACTTCATGGACTTAAAGAGGATTCACAAGTACAACTGGATGGCATCTTGTTTTGTCTACCTCTACTCCAAGTTAGTTTAAGATAGTTTGCAAAAGACAAGACAAATGATAGGAACCAACTATCTATTTCATATATTTACACCCTTACTAATATTAATTTACTTGTGCTT